TTTTTTCAGGGGAAAAGGGGGGGGGGGGGTTGTCCTTACTTTGGAGAGATTGCCTCTTACTTCCTGTTGTACAACAAGACAGGAAGTGAAGGTAGACCTCTCTAATAAGACACAGTTGTCTAAAAAACACTGCCAGAGGTTTTAAAGAAACATTACTCTACTCATAAGTTTTTTTTAAAGCTTTTACTTTAGCTACACTTTATGGTAGTCATCCATTATGTAATTGTCAGGCTGGATGGCTGGGCCGGGAGTGGAATCCCTTGGCAGGGACGAAAGCAAAGTCCAAGAGCGAAGTATCAAAAGGACAATCCAAAAGAATAGTCAAGTCCGGGTCCGGGTCGTGGCAGGCAGCGAGGTTCACAGGCATGGGGTCAGGCGAAAGGGTCGGTAGCCGGGAGGTCAGATCAATCACAAAAGGCAGGTTCATACAGGGGGGCTATGTTTCACCATGAGGTAGAATAACTCAGCAATGAGTCAAGGCTCTGACCAGCTTTATATACACAGGGAAACCCAGGACCACCCCCTGGCTGCCGGGGCAACCAGGAAGCTTCCTCAGTCAGGGGCCAATAGCAGTGCTGAGAGGCGGGTGGTGAGTGCAGAGGACCTCCCCCAGCCTAAGTAGCACCTGGGACGCAGTGTGGCTCAGGCGCTGGAGGGCGCGCGGCTTGCGTACCGCACACGTGTTGCGCATCTCACGCATTCGCAGCGGCAAACCCAGCGCCAGATGCCCTGCCAGGAGGAGGAGGAGCCTGCGCGACATGCCCGTGCTGGCGAGCCTGGTGAGGAACGGCCCCCCTGGGTCCCTGACAGTAATGTAACTCAATACCAAAATAACTGTATAAAATATATTTTTGTGTGCTTGTTTTTTTACATTTAAAATAAATTAGTCGAAAGCTAATTTTTGTAATCACAGTAGTCAAATTTACAGTCAGAATTTAGGGCATCATTTTTGTTCTATCTGCCTAGTTTTGTTTGTTGTTTTATTTCATACAGAAGGCTTGAATGCAGAGGCAATGCAGATTGTAGAAATTCGAATTGTAAGATCAACATTTGGATGTTCTTTATACAGTATAAAGGACTAAGAAAAAGTAATCAGTAGTGGTCGGAAGAAGCAAAAGGAATTTTTTATTACAACAAATGGCACACACCTGGGGCACAGTTATTATAACCAGTTGTACATAAGCATCTAGCCACTGCCAGAATAGGAAAAAACCCTGTGGCCTGTATAGCTAAACCCAGCTAAACCCTCCTATTCTGCAAAAAGCCAGACTGGATGAAATCCTAAAGATTTATTAACAAAACAAGGTGGAGTGAAACTGTATGTTTTCTTTGTATATTCTTTTTCACCAATCAGCATTGAACATGTTAATACAGTAATAGCTCACAAATTTTAAGAGAATAAAGTCCATCCCTACCAGCAATGCTGCCTGGGCGGAATTTGGGTGTTTTCTCCAAACATGTGATCAGGATGGCACTGCATCATCCTTTTCTCTGTTCCAAAGTGGAGGCTGAATTCCCAGAATGCATGTTTCTTTCTTCTTGGGCTGGAGGTTGCTGGAAACTTACCATTAACTGGACTGTATATGAACTGGAGAGAGTCCAGCGGAGGGCAACAAAACTAATTAGTGGAATGGAGGACCAGAGCTATGAGACAAGGCTTCTGACCTTAAACATGTTTACGCTGGAATTAAGGAGATTAAGGGGGGATATGATTCTCATGTACAAGATGTTCAATGGTGACAGCAACATTGGCAACAAACTGTTTGAGATTAACTCAATGACAAAGACTAGAGGCCACCACCTAAAGTTGGTGGAGAAAAAATTCCAGCACAATGGGCGAAGAGGGTTCTTTACAGTAAAAGCGGTTAAGGTCTGGAACTCACTGCCATCGGCAGTGATTTCAGCCAAAAGTGTAGATTTGTTCAAGAAACTTTTGGACAATTTCTTGAGGGACCGTAATATCCAGGGATACCAGTATCCCTAAGAATGAGATGATGCGTGGACCTATATGGGTTGGACTTGATGG